GGATTATGCTTAGGTCGGCGTTCCCTTCTTGGCTTCGGGGATCGCAACGCAAAATCGTCATCCCATTCGTTTTCGTAAAAGCGCTTGAAAACCAAAATAGTACACGTTAGTATAAATACTCAAAGTCCAGTAATCAGCTAAAGTAAGCAAGCAAAACAATCTAATAATGAAATATAACTTCTAGAAAGAGAGAAAAAGGGTTCACCTTTACTTCCGGATGATGATCAACGCAGATAATGGCCGTGTGATCAGAAGGACGCGTTCGAAATGAGCGTCTCAAGCTGATTCTCTTTGGTCTAAGCCTGGTTTTTATCGGCATGGAACGTCTCTGGAAAGACATGCTTTGCTAAGTATAGATTCATCTAAGAAAAAAAACAAATGCAACAAATGCAGGGAAGAATTGATCAATACGTCGACGTATAGGTGCGTTATTTCGAAACCTCCTCGCCCGTCGCGACAAAATCGCACCAAAATCCGGACGAAACTAAAATGATGACTCGCGCTGGTCCACCGGATTTTGCCGCGAACGTCCATTTTGTGGGCGGATCCCCTGCGCGAGTCAACCGCGAGTGTCTGAGTGAGGAGGAAATTGCCAACTCGTCCGGGAGCTTGTAAGATTGGCCTGCGCGCGTAAGTTTGAGAGCCGTTTTCTCGGCAGGGAAGGCATGTTGTGCAACCAGGATTGCACTGTTTTCATACTTGGGCGATAGGGAACCTACCGCGTTAAAATCGTGAGTTATTGAGATTGCCGATCCACTGCCTCTAACACGCTGACGACGGTGTCGCTCAATTGCGCCAGGCAGTCTGTCCCTGCGAACGATGTCGCGAAAGGTGAGCGATACCTAAATATCAGTTTTAGTTTGCACAATGGTTCCAATCAGGGTCAAGCGTGTTGATGCGATCCTGGTCCCTCATTCACGACCCCCCCCCCCTTCTCCCTCCCCTCCCCCATCGGTAACCTGCATTAACGAATGTCAATCTCAAAAAAGACCTGCGTGAGAACTCCAGTGAGGTTTCGGAAGCAGAATTTCTAGGCCAATGGTGCGCCCAGCATCTCTAGCACATATACACACCTTCAATAATGTTTGAGATCTGCAAGTTTACTTTTGAATTTTCAGGCATACTTCAGGCCAGCCAATTCGATTCCCGTATGCCACACAAATTTTTACACGGAGAACAAAATGACATTCTTGAACTACAAAAGATGTTTTCGTCTAAAAAGCTCAGTTCTTACCTCTTCCACAGTTTTTCCTGCGAAAAAACCGCTTTAGCGCCGTCCAGAACGACGTCAAAAACATGCATGAGCACGGTAGTTTGAAAATTTATAACTAAGGCCAGGAAAAGACTGAGAGGCTGCAAAGAACAGGTTTTGTAGCATAGTGCCCAGACTATCCATAGAAAAAATTTCAGCCCTTGAGGAGCAGTGAGCTCGAAAAAATTTAGACCAGGCTCTCGCAAATTCAGATGCGATCCTAAAACGCAAAAACTGGGATTTTTGAGCTCAAAATTTTGTAACTTAACAGAGAAGTTATAAACAGCCTGAAAATCTTAAGATAAAAACTAGAGGGATGGCCTCGTATTACAGCAAGTTTGCAGCTAACAAGCTTCAATAGCTCCGGAGAAATTTGGATCAGGCGCAGGTACGGCCCCTTTTCTCATTTTTTGCTACCATACATAAAATCATAAGAAAATCCGCAGTTTATAAAATAAGACCAGATTTCGCACAGCAGTAGCAGGGCTTATTCAGAGTACATACAAATTGTAAGGGCCGCATAAATGGCATTACAAAAAGATTTACGAATTATTGATTGTCATCGTTGATCTACATATGCGCTTTTGTCGAGTGTGCGAGTCTTCAGTGAGCCTTCGGAAGAGGATGTCTGCATCATTCGGTACATCCAACATGTTTATCACACATACATGCCTTTAGTAGCATTTGAGCTTCTGAAAGTGTTTATTTTTTGGATTTTAGTCATGCCGGCAGGGTTCAATCCCCGTTTGGACAATATTTTGCGGGAGGAATAGCTATTCCCATTAAAAAAAGAACTAAGTCATAATCCATTAGTGCAGCAAATGAAGCGAATTTTTACGCTTGCAAATATTTTTAAATTGTTGTTCACTCGTTTTTATTTGATACATTGCTACACGGCATTCCATGAATTTATTGTTAAGAACATGTGATAATTATTTGCTATTTGATTTTCAATCGTACGGTTTTTTATCCAAACTACCCCCCCCCCCCTTACAACCCCCCCCCTCTCACCAGGCCCCCTTTACGACCCCCCGACACTCACATCACATGCTTGACCCCTGGTTCCAATATGTGTTCACATAATCAACTTAGGCTCAGAAGTATTTCATATCGGCCCAGCTCCCTTATTGGCAAACTCCGCCCACTTTGTTGCCCCCACAAACTTTTTTTTCTCTAATTGCATAGAAAAGCTTGTAGATAACTGGAGAATCTCAAAATAACCTGGATTTTAACCCCGTCCCCCATTAGGCAGACTTCACCTTCTCAGTGGCAAGTCCCACCCGCCTTTCAAAAGTACGGAATTTGCACAATTCGTTAATTTTGTGCAAATTCTTGCACTTTTTAAAAGTGGGCGGGGCTTGCCTAAAGTGAGCGGAGCTGCCCGCCCACTTACATTTTTGTATCTCACGCGTAGGTGCATGCATGCATAAATGCATCCAGCTTTGAAAATGTCCGGAAACAGTTCGTTCACAGGGACAGACGTCAAAAAAAAACAGCCTGTCGTCAACGTGTTAAGATACACAAGTAGAAAATTCGTCGCTTTTTGAAGGTCCTTTTTGAATTTTTGCTTGTTTCGAAAACCATCCGATAATCAATCACTTTACACTTATTTTATACGCGCAACTTCTGAAACAATCTCGCCTCAGCTCGATGAGGTGCAAGGCTGCTGCAAAAATCTCTCGGCCAGAGACTGTGAACGACGAGAGCGCGCTTAAAGAAGCTCAGCTGCAGCGTTGGGTTGTTTCATACTGCCGCCCTGACCACAGCGGACTGCAGCAGACTACATCAGCATGTTCACGTAAAAAGAAAGAACGACCCTGATGAAAGTTTCGATTTCTCCTTTTAAAATAAAAGATAAAGGATTCGGCGTCTTTAATTCCTTCTGCGAGCATGCGCGGAACGCACACTTAGTCGAAGAGGCAACTGTATGCGTGCGAGCATTTACAATAACTTGCGGGGGTCAGGCGTTTACCAAGTCAGTGCTTTTATCCTCTTAGATTACTCTGGTACCAATTTACCGGCCCCGGAGGGTAGAGAGCTTGGTTGGCCCAGGGATTAAGATCGAAGATGTGTACGATCTGGTCATAGCGGCGCCTCATACCACTCGTCCCCATTTCTCCCTTTACGGTCAAATATTTCTTTTTACGCGAATATGCTACGGCCGCTGCGACCGCAGCGGTCATTGCGGTCACCTGCAGTCTGCTGCGGTCTGGTGCGGTCAGTGCGGCAGTATGAAACACCGTTGATGCCAGCTCTGGCGGCAGGCTGCGCACCAGGCAGCTGCCTATGTAGCATTCGCACTAGGGCCCGGCACGGGTCGGTTTCTAGGGTTTTGAAAACGAAGTCTCCCCTGACTGTTAGAAGTTTTACGAAGTCCCTTTTGACCTACCTACTTAGGAGAAGATGACAACAGAAAGATTTTCGAGTCTGAATGAAAAAACACGAGATAAGAGTGAAAATCCAAATTGGAGCTGAATACTAAGCATGCACAAGAGTTTGGCATTGGAGAGCGATAATTAACAAAGCGATTTATGAAGAAATTACGGCAAAAACAAAGGAAAGGCAATGATATGAAAATGTCTTCATGCTCATGGATAGATTTTTGACCGGGGAATCCGTACATGATAGAATAATCCAAAACTTATGTGAAGTGACGAAAATATATGCTCCAGACGATCTCAGATCGTCTGGTGACCGTCTGGAAACGGACTAATTTTGGAAAAGGTGATACTTCACATAAGTTTCCAAATCTTTTTGCATAGTTCTTTTGCAAATAATTTTTTATGTATACTTATCAATTTCGGTGTCATACGATTCTATGTGCGCTGTAAACAAGCAATTTGTTTGCTTTAGCCTTGCATTCAAGTCGCGCGCACTTTTCGCTATACGCGATAAAGCATGTCATTTGTGTGATAACCTGTCCGAAAAGCTTGTGTTCGACTAAATGGCGCTTATTCTTGGTGCTCGACTCGTCAAAAACGATATCCCCTTTGCTTTTTGCTCCAAAAACGAAGTCCAGCCTGCTTCCAGACAATCTGTGCCGGGCAATGATTCGCACGCCCTCAGCTGCGACGCATCCGTAGAAACGGCTTATACCGCCGAGTGTTGAAGGCACGGGTTGACCGTCGTTTCGGAGGCTCCCGCCAGAGTGCCGAAGCCATGCCAGCGCTACGCCAGCGCCGAGCCAGCGTTTCGATCGATACACGTGTATTTCGTTGGGGCGGGGCTAGCTGACCTAGTTCTTAGCAGGTAGATGTCCCCAACGAAATACACGTGTATCGATCAAAACGCTGGCTCGGCGCTGGCGTAGCGCTGGCATGGCTTCGGCACTCTGGCGGGAGCCGGAGCATGCGCCGCGCGGCCAAACTCTCGTATCAGCACAAACGCCATTGTCGTGTTCCATGACATTCCGCGCATGCTGCGTAATCTGCGGTCAATTCGTGCGGTTGACGACTCGACGACAGATAGGTCGGATTCGTGGCCATTTCTCGCCTCTGCGCTGGAAACGTGCCATCTATTCATCAAAACGACAATCTGCATTTGCGCTCTTATGGAACAAACGAGCAGCCAGTCTTCTGCTGGTTGTTGTGTAACAATAAGGATGCCTGAAAAACTACGAAGATAGAAGGCCTGTGTATACGATGATCCCATATTTTACCCAAAGCGAAGTCTAGGTTACCGACCCGAACCGCAAAAGTGGTTTTTGACTAAGCAAATTTATCTTATCGATTACAATCACTTATTTCAGCAACATTACCGTCTCCTGTATTCTGGGGTAAGATATACGATACGACCTGCCTAATGTGGCAGAAATCATGCAGCAAGACTGGAGCATGTCCAATTTATGATACTGATGAGCTGCGATTACGGTATGTCTATTTGAACACAATCGTTGCATGATCTTCAGGCCAACCCTTTAATGAAAAACTCTCAATGCAACAATCGTATAATTCACCAACCACATTGGATTGGTGAAAAATTATAGCCGAGGTCTAATATGAGTATGCCACATCATGTTTAACAACTCGGAAGCGTCTCTTTCAAATATGATTGCGTTATAGTCATTATTCTCCCTTCTTCGTAACCGAATAATTTCAGAGTTCACTTCATTTACGCTGCTTTACGGATGCTTTCGCTGGTCTTCGACATCTGGGTTGTGTATTGGGCCAAAGGCCTCAAAATAATTGACGAGGAGGGAGAGGAAAGAGATGGTAAAGATATACGTGAACTTCAACCACTGAATGAAGAAGCAGACTCGAAGCTTGGATCTGAATCTCTAGAAGTGGAAGAATAATAGAAGATTGATGTAATAAATATTCTAAAGCGGATAACTTGCACACTATAGATTGACCTGATCACTTATTTCGAGCACTCATTTGACCTCTTGTATACTTGAGAAGATTTGTTTGTAACAGTATCCTCCATAGTTAACTAAACATGAATCATTCTTGTTCTGAAAAAAAAAAACTTGGTGAGAATCTCGGAAGCACGTATAAAGAGGAATCATGGACTGTTAAGTTTTACAACCACGCTTGCGACAGCTGAAGCAACGGATACTTGAATTCCTTATTATTGACTAGGAAAGCTGGCAAATAGTTTGTGTATGTGTTTCCAGTAGTCTGTAAGCTTTTTGGGAGTTACCTTCTTTCAGCATGGGGTTCCATGACTCGGGAAGTCTTCCTCTAACTGGCTTACCAACACCGAATTTCGGTTGGTGCAAATGTATCCAAAAACTTTAAAAGTGGTAAATCCTACCTTCGGGTACTTTTATCACTCATTATCAGCAGATACCCGTATTCACAGACTACCTTGAGGTATTCCTCAGAAACTTTACCTTAAAAAGAATTTTTCTGAATGGAAAGCCCGTTGAAGTCAATGCTATTCCAAGGTACTTCGTCTCATAATCCGTATTCATCAAACTAACTGCCTTTACTTTGAGATATATTCTCAAATTTTCCAAATCGGAATTTTTTTTAACCGTCATTCGATAACTGTACAAAGAGGTTTCTCCGGACAGGCGGGTTCCCAAAACAATTCACTGCATCTACGTCATGCCTTGCTCCCAATCGTCAATCCTCATCATGCTGGTACAGGTATATATAACCCTGAGAGTTAAACTTTGCTGAATACCAAAATAATATTTTAAAGTGAATTGTGCCTTGAAGTACACTTCATGGTTACTTGCATTTCATCTGGGTTCATTCTAACCCTATCACTAAAGTTGGGAGCATGAGAGGATCGAATAGAATAAATTCTCTTTTGAGGGCCGGCTAAAGTTCGCTGAAAAGAGCTTAAAGGCAGCGTCCGGGCAAAATCTCACAAAAAATTTTTCGCCTACCTGGCCCCATTCTTCCCGTTGATTCCGAAAATGCAGCTTGCAGAGAACGAAGATGTCGAAAAAGGGCTTTTCCAGAAGCAGTTGATTTTGAATAATGACGCTTGCCGCCGAGGTTAAGACGCAGAGTCGCGTGCTCGACATGCGTACTCTGGCTATCCATCGAAAGGGCGGGCACTTCGCCGGGGCGGTCCTGTCGCCACTTCTGAAGCGGTTTTCTCGCTTCAGAAGCAAAGTGGTGCAATGCCACTTGGGCAAGAGCTCCACCAGGCCAAGAACCCTCGTACGCTACAGTTTCGTTTTTGCCCGGACGCTGCCTTCAAAGGCACCGAAAAGCGTGCAAAAGTGCCACGCGTCAGCCGCAAGCTCTTCGAAAATCATTGAAGTGCGCAACCCATGGTTTTTGGCTTGGTTAACTTTTCTTTTTATTTTCTAAACAATTTACCAACCTTTCGAGAGGGTTTAAGTGGCAGGTAGATAGAGCAAACCCAACAGGACAAGAACCATTTCATAAATCTTTTTCATCAACTCTCAGCAGTTTTTCAGATTTTGGAGGCACTGAGGCATAATAAAGAACTTGTCAGGTTTTTATTCGCATAAATTTTTCGTCATTTTTTATCTGTTATTCCATCGCCTCATTGTAGATATTGGGTTGTCCCGAAATTTCGTTCGCACAATTTTTAAAAAAACATAACTTCTGATTTTGATTTGACTGCTTTCATTTTTACATGAAGGAGTAAGTCACGCTCTTTATAACGATATCATAGCTGCTTACTAATGATCGTCTTTTGCATAGATTAAAGCGATAGAAGATTGGTAGAAATTTGAGTTTTCTGTGTAATGTCATAAAGAATCGGAAACTTGCAACAAAAATCGGAGCAGTCTTGTAGATTCTTTCACCAGCTCTTTCTAACAGTGCAAAGCTCGCACAGATTGAGCGTCTCTATGAAAAGTTATGATTTTCGAGCAAGCAATACGAATGGGCGGATTTGATTCATTCTGGCTTTTTTTAGGGAAATCATAACTTTTCATAGAGACGCTCAATCAGCGCAAACGTTGCACTGTTAGAAAGAGCAGGTAACAGAACCTACAACACCGACTGCTCCGACTTCTGTTGCAAGTTTCCGATTTTTTATGACTCACACAGAAAACTCAAATTTTTACCAATTTTCTTCTATCGCTTCTATGCAACAGATGATCATTAGTAAGCAGCTACGATATCGTTATAAAGAGCGTGACTTACTCTTTCATATAAAAATGAAAGCAGTCAAATCGGTTGAAAAAAATCAGAAGTTAAGTTTTTTTGAAAATGGTGCGAACGAACTTTCGGGACAATCTAGTATAAGAGCCAAATGAAGTTTATAATGGCCTAAGCGAACAAGTTATTTTTCCTTTCAGCTACAAGAAATTTTTAGACAAGAAACTTGCCATATTCTTCAGTCGCATATTTTTCCATGAGATCTTGAAATTGTTCCTACTGGCCCTAATTTAGAATAAACAAATTTGGTGTCATATCATCATCTGCCAGTGCGTCACCTTTGTTCCGCAGAGGTTCGCAATAGTTCTGTTGTAGTATCCGCATGCCTTCCTCATGGACGATGATGATTTTTGAGCTCATCTCGCAACGCCGAACATCATGAATGCAATGTAAACTAGTCATTCTTGAAGCCATCCATGTAGGATCGGTAACTTTGGAAGAAATAAACCTTTTTGCAGGACTACAAAGCAAACTTGAATCAGTTACCGACTTTATTTTGACTTGATAGTGGCTTAAAGACAGTAATTACTTCGGTTTACATCTCTAACCAAGATTCGTCTCAGTTCTTATGTAAAGCTCTGAAAATTAACAATTTTCTACTTGGCTCGCGTTTTCGAAAAAATAAAGATTTTTTGCCAACCATGTCAATAACTTCGCAAAAAATTTGTATACCGCCCCACTTCAGCAAGCGAAAAGCCGCATGGGCCTTCTGATGCGCAATTTTCGTAGGTTCCACGCAGAGGATCCATACAGACCTATCGTTTATTCGTTGACCGTAACGACTGCAGACCGCGCGGCGACCGCTGCGCGTGCATGATGTTTTCGTAGAAAAGATGAATAGAAAGAAAACAGAGGATTCTTCTCAACTTTATAATGTAGAAAAGAAACAAAGAATTCTTCTCATCTTAAGCCACGGTCCAACTTGTCACTTTTTCGCAAGTTTAGAAGGCACGCGTCGCAGTTGCCACGCGGTCGGCAGTCCGTACGGTCAACGAATGAACGATACGTGCTGGCGACGTGTGTTATGCAAAACTGTGGCTCGACGCGTCGGCAGCAAGCGATCTATGAATTTCACACAAAATTTGACACACAATTTCTCACAGACAAAAAGGACGGCCTAGCGCTTTATTGTTGAGTAATGATGACAAGATCTTGTCCTATCAGACAACCTTGGACATCTAGAAAAAACACGATCCTTTTTTCACAGATGTTTTGTCAAGATTTTTTTCACATTCTTGCAGACTTTGACAACAATGGGAAATCACTCCATGGCTTAGTGCTTGAAAAAAATTTGAGTTTGTAAGAGAAAATTGTCGTCAAAAGCAGTGTAGCGAAATCAGCATGCGTAAACACTCTATCACACAATTAAATTTCATGAAAAAAGTTTTGCCAGGCGCCCATTTTCATAATGCTCTGTATGTTGGAGGTTCCTAAGTTCCTACTGTAATTTGACAGTAACGAAAAGAGATTGGTTGCTCCATATTGTACGTCTAAGTTGGTGTGAAATCTACGGAATGGTACTCAAAAATCGGCGAAGGACTAATGCAAAGTTAGAAGCAATCAAACGATGTGCACATTTTCTTGGGACACCGTGTCTTACTGCTGACCCAACTATTGGAGCCTTGGCCATACCTCACGCGATTTCAGTCGCCACGCAATCTGGCAATTTGCCAGATGTTTTCAAATTCAACACTGGCAGACCGCAATGCACACTTGTACAACTTTCGTAGGATGGAATGCCCTATCCTTTCTACATTCAAAATGCGCGCACGATGAGCTATGGGATCGTTCAGACCGCGCCGGTACCCGTCCAAACCCGCCCGAATACGTCCGAATCCGCCCAAATACGTCCAAACCCGCCCAAATACGTCCGAATACGCCCGAACCCGCCTGAACGCCGGAACTGCCAAAGCGCAGCGGCTATGCGGCAAATTGACATATTGGAGCACGCATGGGATTGATCCTTGTGAAATCGGAGTAGTTGCAAAAGATCAGTATGTAACGTCGAGCTACGTGTGACTAAGTTATATGCACGAGGCACGCAGTATTCTGCGCGTGCTCCAATATGCCAATTTGCCGCATACCCGCTGCGCTTTGGCAGTTCCGGCGTTCGGGCGGGTTCGGGCGTATTCGGACGTATTTGGGCGGGTTTGGACGTATTTGGGCGGATTTGGACGTATTCCGGCGGATTCGGACGTATTCGGGCAGGTTTGGACGGGTACCGGCGCGGTCTGAACGATCCCTATGGACGGTCAGGTATTGCCAGATCGCGTCGCGACTGAAATTGTGAGATATGGCCAAGGCCTAAGGCTGATATCGCAACAGTTTGTAAAGGTATGGCTCAGTCTTGTTGCTTGATATGATCCACTAGCTACCAGGTCCCTATAAGTACATAGAGTGGAACGGACACACCATTGAATTCTATAATTTAGAGAGTATCTATTGCCTAGTAGTTTTGATTTAAGAGATATTTCTACAAGTCACGCTAAGTGATTTTGATTGTTGAAATATTTCTGTGGTTATCATATTTCTACTGACACAATGGTTGGGGTCTCAACATTGCTACTATTTTACCAGGGTCGAAAGCCGCAGTACTGAATGAATCCACGTACAGTCGAGTAGATTTAGCGGTAAATATAGTGTGCTTGCACAGAAGGTGAAATGCGGTGAAATTTGCGCGTGAACAAGTAGCCACGCCAATGCTGCGGGCATCGTGCGCGCGCAATTGGCCGGCGTCACAGTCGAAGCTATTTCTTCACGCCCAAATTTTACCGCATTTCACCCTCTGTGCAAGCACACTATATTTACCTCTAAATCTACTCGACTGTACCAACCTGCTTCAAAACCTTAGAAATAAAAAGACTGCTACCTCACAATAATTTCGATAAAACATAGTCAATTGTTTAGACAAGAAACGTTGCCTCGGGCGACTCTACAATTTTTCCGCAATAGCGCTCTATTCGACAGACCGTCGCGCATGTCACCGCGCAGCGTGGAGCCGATGTGAGAGTTTGCACATAAAACTATTTTCGGGTCGTAGCCCGCTTATTTCCATATTTTATGACTATCATTTGGAATGCTTGGATGGTAATTAGCTTTCCCGTTGAATTATGTATATATGCACGGAATTAAACTCGTTCTGATAAGCTAGCAAGGGGTCTCAGTCATTGCTTTTACAGATTATATCAGAAGTGGAATTTTGATGAGCCATACGTCAAAGACAAAAGGTGGGTTTCATTTTCCTCAGATTTTCTTCCATGCTCCAACCTAATACTTCCTTATCTTCACGCTTTTGTCATCAATTCAGGCAAGCTGCAGTATCAGTTGATTACATATTTCCATTTGGAGTTTCGATTTTTGAAGCCGCGGTTTGAAGAACCACGTGCAACTTAGTACACTGAAAGTTTTTGCCTTCATTTTGTTGATTATGTTCTTTTTGTAGATGATGCATCCAGTTCTGGTCCACAACAGGCTGCTGAAACGAAGGTACATGTCACTTTTTTATTTATATTCTCTAGTGCTTTGATTCTAGGTTTACTATTATCTTGACGATGATGCGACCCCTTTTGTGTCCATCCTACCTGTGCCACCTGATGAAGCAACGTTGAGAGATTTCAAGAAAGTTTTCACCAGAAAAGGGTTCAAGTACTTTTGCAAAGGCCTAGACGCCGATATCAAAAGGTTTGTGATGTTTAGTGAATGTCCTCGTTTCTCTTCTTATTTTGTTTTCATATCACATGATATGGGATAAATAACTTTGGATAGTAATTTTCTTATCAGAATGCTTTTCTGACTCTTTTCTTTCATATAACATTATATAATAGAAATTTCTCGCTGAGCTCCTCTTTATTAGCATTTTTCAGAGAGGTGAAGATCGAGTTATGTGACGATTCCGCTGCTCTGAAAAAATCTACTAATGGTCTTATTGAATTATTCCTGCACAGTTGTGGCGGCCCCGGTGTATTACCTCGCTCCGGAACATTGCCAAGAAGAGGACAAGCGGAATATATGCCCAACATGGAACTTCCTGATAAAGTGATTTCTTTTGTGAAGTAAACTGCTTATTGTTCCAAGATTGTCAAAAATCATCGTTTCCGTTTCAGGCTGATAGGCGACGATCTTTGGTTAATTTGGACTTACTCGACGCTTCAGAAAGTACTCACCCAGCCAGCAGCATTGGTGGAACGATCGTCAGCAGTAAGTATCCTGTTTTCTGTCCCAAAACTATGCTTAATCTCCTTGTGCAGGACGGGCCGGTGAACACCTTGCTGAGCTATACACTTCAAACTCTGAAAACTTCTATAATGACTCCACAAGGTCAGCAAATTATTTTATTTTCTTCACGCCTTCTATGTACTATGCATATTCCACCCGTTTCTACTTTTTTCACTCGCTTCCTTCAAATGCCAAATTTGTAAGATTTTGCGGAGGTTCTTGATAGATTATGTATGCAGTATATCCCAAACACTTTGGGAAGAATTAGCTGGTAGTGCATGTTTTCGCGTTGAAAATTTGGGGAAATGAGTTACAAAAAATTACATTCCTGGTTAATGAATGATACTAGTTTCCACCCCCTCCCCCTCTCCCTCTCTGTTCCACTCTTTTCCATAAAAAGTTCTGCGTAGCCGATATCTCACGTAAATAAAATAACACTCTTTCTGATGGTGCCTAGTCTAGGTTCTCCGCCACAGCTTCATCATCGCTTTACGAGCCATTGTGCGCTAATGGTGGCTATAACGATGGCGGAAAGGTGCGAAGGCGAAAACCTCGGAAAGAGCGCTTTCGAAAGGCGTATGTTCCAAGCACAATTAGCTCTATCACGGAGAGCAGGTCAATTTCTGTGATGTTTGTTTATTTGCTTTTTTCCTCTATATTTTTGTTTGCTCATACCGGAAATAAAGTTTCTTTCAGCATGACTAGTCTATCGCTTCCACGAATTTTGGAAGTGAACTTATCTATGAGAACCACACCATACCTCGGCATATCGGTCGGTAGTTTCCAGGGTAGCATACTAGTCAGTGAGATCCTGCCGGGTACGTTACTTTCTCATACTTAACAGAGCTTCAAGTGTTATTTCTCAGATGGTGCTGTTGCCAAAGACGGACGCATCGAGGTTGGAGACCAGATTGTGCAGGTCAATAACAAATCTTTCGAAAATCTTTCTGAGGCTCAGGCTGTTCGGCTTCTGAGGGAAGTTGCAGCGGCTAAGAAGTAAGTTTTTTGTATCTAGCAGAGTCGATTATGAACTCAATTTTGTCACTTTCTCACTTTTTATTTATTTATTTTTCCAATGTCTCATATATTGCGTAGTGGTCATAGTGCTACATACATGGAGAGGAGTGTGTTTTTCGTTTACGTGAATAGAACTGAGTAGGACTGAGATTTCATATATGGAAAGAAGTTTCCTGATTGCTTCCACTGTTGTGCGACTGCACAATTAGTGATCATATTGCTCGTCCATTGTACTTTTCGGTCACTACTTTTGAGCAGTGCTTCACGAATGTTCTGAAATGCTAAAGTCTTGATATAGATCTCCTGCCGGCCTCCCCTTGTACGCATTATGCGCTAACTCAGCATTTGTCCATCTTCCTTAGTGCTTTCAAAAAATGGTATCCGTATTGCGATAGCTCCAACTCCTGGTCTGACTATAGAGAATAGCTAACTAATTCTCATTTTTGATCATTACAGCACGACAAAAAATTGTATAACTTCTAACACAGAAAGGCATAGAGCAATTGTAGATACCTCTATCAAATGGCTTTTTAGGACTTCGTAACGTGGGGTATTTAAAGGTTTAGCCACTATATCACGTTTGAACATCCATACCAACCTTATCGCAACATTCGCACTCATGCCTGCATGCCCACCTTGGAAAAAACCTTCAGGAAAAATTCTATCATCTTTCATCTGTGAAACTTTCAGACCACTGACGTTATTCGTAGCCAAGTATTCTCGCAATAATGACTACGACCCTCTTTCGACATTGGCTTCAGAGACACTGCCTCTTGATGTCTCGCTTTGGGTGCAGACGGCCGTGTAAGTTTTTATGAAGCTAACTATATATTCTTCGCTTTTTCTATCTGACTTTATACTTTTGGACACTGCTTCGGAGAAGTAGCCCAAGTGCCGTTTTTAAAGCGACAATAATGTGTCTTGAATTTAGTCAATGTGCCGAACGGCAACGTATATATCGTGAGAGAGGCATACCTGATGATACTACCCAAACGTTCGATGAGAATGCAGTGGGGAACGAGGGTGAAACAGATGATGAGGAGGCATGCCATTTGATGAAAATACGTCGTTAAAACAAATTCTGCTAAAAAGAATTCCATTTCCAGGAGCGAGTCCTTTACGAACAGCGACGCCATGGTATACCTCAGATAAATGTAGAGGAACTAGAGCGACGCAGAGAAAACGAACAAAATGGTAAGTCTGAGTATTTACTACCTTATTGAATTATATACTAGGCTGAGTCAAAACTAATGAGAACTTTTCGCGCATCCTCTCGGACTTTTAGCAAATTGTGAAGAATAGTGATAGAAGAGTACCTTAAACTGTATTAAACGTAGCTTTTCTTCCTCTTTTCAGGAGCCAGGCCAACTGCCCAGTTGACTCTTCGTTGTCGAAAAAATTTCCCAAATTTTGAACCTGTCATTTTTGCTTTGAGTGAGTCTAGATAATCCTCAGAAATTTTGGTTTGAGGATTTCAAACAAATTCGATTATCTGAAGACAGAGCAGGTTCTGCTTAATGCGAAACACCTCTTGGGTCTTTCGAAACTAGCATTTTGAGACTTATTAAAATCTTTCCAAAACCCCTAAAATTTCAAAAAATCGCTCAAAACAAAAATGCATCAAACTTTATAAAATCTTCCGAAATTCGGAGCTTCGATAATAGTTCATTATCAAACCTTGATTTTGCAAAGTATTTGAGCGCTTACCGTTTCAAATTACCATAACCTAGAATTTTTTGCCACGTCTGAAAAAACCATAGAATTTCAACGGCAAACGCTTTGGGTTCAAAATTTCTGTAAAAATCTCATCAACTACGAAGAGATTTGGTTGGAGATTATGACTGCTGGAAAGAGAAAGAAAAGTCGTATCGGATACCGTTTAGAGCATTTGCCTGTTTACATTCTTCCCAATTTGAGAATAGGTTTAAGAGGAGATACGAAGTTCTCATTACTTTTGACTCACCCTAATATATATTTTGGTATTTTGCAGAGCACAGGGCAACACAACGACTTTCTATAACCATGGATCCGGTGATAATATTGAGAGCACTTGCTAAACCGGATTCTGGCTTACAAGTGAAGAATCGGAAGTGGTTGAAGATACTAGTCCCTATGTCCTTCATAGGTAGCACTCTGCGTATGTTCTTAGCTTTTGCACAACTTTTCATTGGAGGTCGCGACCTTGTTGATTGGCTGTTGGAGCATGTAGAAGACCTGAGTGATAGGAAGGCAGCACGGCAGTATGCAGCTGAGCTTCTCAGAACTGGTCTTATACGGCATGTCGTGAGCAAGTTAACGTTTACTGAGAAATGCTATTATGTCTTTGGCGGTAAGTTGTGCCCAGTTTATACATGATGCCTAAGCTACCTTTTATTGTTAGATGCTATTGTTGGGACTCGAGGTGCCGCAGACAGTACTCAGAACAGTGGTGGTACAATGAAGGTAGAAGCAACGACTGAAGTCACCTACGTAGGCTCACCAGCCCCCACAGGTTGGCAAACATCCTATCATAATGCTGTTTCGCTCGATTAATTCGCATATCAAATATCAAATGATATAATTTGGAACCACTAATTTGAAAATGTATCCGGTGATAAGAAAAAAAAATTTTTCTTGTTGATTTATTTATCTCAAAAATAAAATTTTCAAGGTGCCCATCATGGCAACAATGTTCGTCAATTTGGGCAACCTCCTCCGGGACCACATCAAGTAGCAGATCAAACTTGGCCGTTCAGCCCTATTACAGTTTATGATTCTGCGCGACGGTTTAGAAACGACTGTGAAAGTCCAGTTGTGAGTATTAATTTGAGCATAGAAATTCAGATTCTGATTTGATAACCGCGTTCCTTCCTGTAGACAAATGACTACGCTTCGATGGTTGGAGGCGAAAGCAGTGCATCTTATGCGATAGGAGTTGGTCGCGGACTACCCAGAGTGTTGAACACTCCAGTGGATGGAACATCAGATTTGCAGTCCAACCTCGCTCCACCTCATCCTAGTCCTTGTGAAACAGTTTTTGAGGATGACGACAAGAGAAGGATTCTGAGACGATGATGTCTTACGTATGATGTTGATTTGAGATGTTTAGGCTTCGAAGAAGCGAGATAATGTTGACGAGTATAAGATTTCAGCGCGGAGTATGTATGCTACTATTAACCTTTGTTATGTTTGATTCTATGCAATTTGTGTTTTTATTCTTACTATATGCAATAGTGATTGAAATGAATACAACATCACCTTATTGCGTCTCGAACCCTCGAAGCATCGAAAAACGTATCTGAAAATGTGCACTCTGATGCACTTTTGCTTCGTTCGGGCACATAGTCGCGGGGCTGTTTTGCTCCTTTTGGTAAACGCAGTTGTTTAGACCTACTTCACTTCTTTTCATGCTGTTTCCCTAAAGAGAAATCCATTAGTATCTCAAGAATTTCAGACTGTCTTTCAGCAGTGACTCGACACATTTGTTGCGGTGTCCACAACACTTACCTGAAAATATAGTCATGTGTATATTGCCGACAATATGCAAAGGCACGCACCATAATTGGTCCGCTGCATCCACTTCGCTATTTGTCAAATAAGTAATCTGACCAATAGCGAAGTGGATCAAGTTCAAGTGTACATCCGCTTCGCTATTGGTCAGTCCACTAATCTAACCAATAGCGAAGTGGATCAAGACGATAAATATGGTTGTGCATCCCTATGTTCCATGACCGGTCCAAAAGCACGCGTTACTTACAGAAGCTATATCAACTAGAATGATTCCATGATGCTCATCGCAAAGGCTACTAGCGGACAAAGGCGCAAAAGCATTTTTCAGCTGAGCGGGCGCGAACGGAATGTGCGCCTGTCTTCATCGCTGTAAACACTGCGCCTGATGCGCTTTGCGCCCAATAAAACCGCTCCGCACCTTTAGTTTTGCGCTTCACCTGGCAATAGCTGTTAATACGCTCTAGAACTAGGAGACTCGAAAAACGTGCGCACGTCATTCAGCAGTTTGAAACTTTCAGACGCTATTCTAAATCTTACCAACTCAAATGAGAGGACTAACGAATTTCACTCATAAAGCAAGGATTGCACGTCAACTCTTCTGGTCTGGTCTCAGGATTATTGTCCGTGTCTTATCGTCGCCGCTTTGTGCAACTGCAGACATTCAATCACTGTTTCCACGAAAAAGAGAACCATTGCGTGCGCTAATCTATACAGCATTATGGTTTTCACGGAAAAGTTTCTGACTTGTCAGTCTGAACTTACTTATACACAATATGGATTCTTCTTCGTATTTGCTGCGCTAGCGCTGCCATAATATAGTGCATCTCACTTTGAGGGATGAGGTGGAAGCTTTGATTTTTCGATGTACCTAGATAGGTGGATATGCTATGCAGCTGTTCTACATCGTGAAAATCATTTTCAGTCAGAAACCTTGGATCCGAGCCAGAATGGCAAGTTTGCGCTGTTGGATTGGTCTTAGCACGATGTCTTGCGCTCGGTCGTGTTGGCTAAATTCCAGAAACAGTTGCGCGAATGTTCCGGTCATTAAACTTCTGCATTCGTTACTTTGGAAATAGTCATTTTCGTTGTGTTTCTAGGAAACAATCCAGTTTTTATGTTTTTCAATGCATTGCATGAAGTGTTGCACTTTATGAACTTTTCTCTTCTGTCGTATTATGTAGCCGTTTGCTTTGAATCTACAAATAGCGGCCTTTTCAGGGTACTACAGCCAAAGATCTCCATCTGATGGCTTCTGGAGGTGATGCTCTTCTTGCCCTTACGGGTAGACGTACGACTGGACAAAGCATCCGCACTCAGAATGGTTTGTTTTTGAGTTTCCGCTCACCTTTTGTTATCCATTATTTGAATATCGCTACGGAAAGAGTTTAGTAACGGCTGCTGTAGCAATCGCAAATATCGTTAAGTCGTCGCTGGGTCCTGTCGGACTTGACAAGATGCTTGTAGATGATGTCGGAGTGAGTTCATATTCCAGACTATTCAAAATTAAAGGTTTCTAAAAAGCCTATTCAAGGATGTCATTGTTACGAATGATGGTGCTACGATCTTAAAGCAGCTTGAAGTGGAACACCCAGCCGGGAAAATCCTTGTGGAGCTAGCGCAGCTTCAAGATGATGAGGTATAGGCGATTCGTTGCACGCAAAGATTGCGGACGTATCGGCGTCTCTCCGATCAGGCGATTCGTTTCTCTTACCACCTGCTGTCTCTCCCAAGCACCAGCTATCTTGATTGGACGCAGCGGCGTCCAGTCCTTAGGTGTTTTGAATCGCCGATACGTAGTTAGTGTAATTGGATCTTATTCGCAAGCCTTATTTCTCTCCTCTATGACTTTTTTGATCTCAGTTTTCAAGGTTATTAATTTTGATTAGTTAGATTTGAGATGCATCGACTGTTTTCATTGGGAATCGGTGCATTGTATAGATACATATGGGGGCTGCAATCGTAGCGTTTTTTCCTTGATGGCAGTGTTCGGGCAGATTTGGGAGCACCTCAGTTCAACAGGTTACAGCGGACTCCCCATATCCATCCCAGTGGCGAGCTTCTTGCTCCAGAATCAATATTTTATAGTCGCAACCGCTATAGGTTGCGACTATAAAATATTAATTCTGGAGTCGGTAATCTGTCAAAGATGAGATGCTCCCAAACCCGCCCGTCGTAGTGGTAATGAACCAATTCACTGTTCCTTCTTACTGATTGCTCTAGTAACTACAACCGTTGAATAAATCCTTTGCTGCAAGTAGTTGTAGTACAATCGTCTCCTTTGCGCTCGTTCCCCTTTAGGCCCCGGGCAGACTTCACGCGATTTGATCGTCGCGACTGAATCGCGACGAGACAACTGTCACAACATCATTCCATGCCGATCAACTTGCATTCGGTTGTGATACTTTTCCAGCCCGAAATTTTTGAATATGAAATGAAAATGAATGGAAATCTTGGCGATTAGATCCGACGATCAAGTCGCGTGAAGTCTGACCGGGGCCTTACATTGCCATAATGCCATTTATCAAACCAGTCGATTTGACAACACAGTAAATCACTTCCTACCGTTTTCTTCATATTTTCCTATTATAATCTTTCACAGGTTGGCGATGGCACTACCTCGGTTGTCATTGTGGCTGCCGAGCTTTTGAAGGCTGCTGATGAGCTAGTCAAGAACAAGCTTCATCCAACAACAGTCATCAATGGCTATAGACTTGCCTGCAAAGAAGCGGTCAAATACATGCAGGTGACTTTTCTAGCTGTTTTTATAGGCTTTGTCCTTCATGCTTTCGTTAGTCCGAAAGAGAAATTTATCTTTGATCTCTCTTATTTTTGAATTATCTTTTTTACTGTTTTTGCTCTCGATAAAAGCCGATGAATTTTCGTTACGTAAGTTTCGTTTAGGAGAACCTTTCTTTCTCTGTTGATGAACTCGGACGCCAATCTCTTATAGAAGCTGCAAAAACAGCAATGAGCAGCAAACTCATAGGACCGTAAGCAATGCTCTTCAAGTGTCTTCCGCATTAACCTCAGCTTTCCTTTGCAGCGATTCCGACTTCTTTGCTTCCCTCTGTGTGGATGCTGCAGAAGCAGTGAAGGTCACTGATTCCAGCGGAAAGGTGCGGTTTTGGATTTCTTTTTGTGTTGAAAGTGTATATGTTACTTTCAGATCACTTACCCTGTTGCTGCCGTTAATGTGCTTAAAGCTCACGGAAGAAGTGCTCGTGAAACTATGCTTATCAAAGGATACGCTTTAAATTGCACTGTAGCAAGCCAAGGTACGACGCAGCCTAAGTTTATTGAATAAGACTTGCTGATGAGCATTCTTTTGCAGCTATGCCACTCGTTGTTACGAACGCCAAAGTTGCATGTCTTGATTTTTCTTTGCAAAAGGCCAAAATGCACCTTGGTATCTCTGTGATTGTTGAAGATCCTGAGAAGCTAGAGGCAATCCGAAGAGAGTGCGTTCGGCCTTAAATCTAATGAACAATCTCTATCAAATTTTATTTTAGAGAATATGATATCACAAAGCGACGAATTGAAAAGATCCTCAAAGCAGGTGCAAATGTAGTTCTGACGACTGGCGGTTAGTTTATTCGTATAATTGCTCAGTTCTTCTTATAATGTGGTGTAGTAGGCTAGCTTTTAGGTATTGATGATTTGTGCTTGAAACAGTTTGTGGAGGCAGGTGCCATGGCCGTTCGTCGTTGTAAAAAGACGGACCTGAAGCGCATTGCAAAGGCCACTGGAGGTGAGCATTTCTGTCATAAGTGAATTTATAAGCTAAATTGTCATCTTGCAGCGACGCTTGTTAGTTCGTTGGCCACGTTGGAGGGTGACGAGGCATTTGATGCTTCGCTTCTTGGTCATGCAGAAGAGGTGGTGCAAGAGCGCATCAGTGATGATGAATTGATTTTGGTGAAAGGGCCTAAAGCGCGCACTGCAAGCTCTATAATTTTGCGGTATGTATGTTTTTTCACTTTCCTCTTGATATAACCTAACATCTTAGTGGTGCCAATGATGTTATGCTGGACGAAATGGAGCGTTCAGTGCATGATGCACTATGTGTTGTGCGACGAGTACTAGAAAGTCGTCGTCTTGTTGTGGGTGGAGGAGCCGTTGAAGCAGCCTTGAATGTTTGGCTGGAGGCCTTTGCAACAACCCTGGTTTGTCGGTTTGCAAATGATGTACGAACATGTTGAAACATGAATTCAATTCAGTCATCCCGTGAGCAGCTTGCTGTTGCTGAGTTTGCGCAAGCTTTGTTGGTGATACCGAAGACCTTGTCAGCTAATGCCGCCAAAGATTCTACCGAGCTTGTTGCAAAGCTCCGAGCTTTCCACCATAAAGCTCAAACTAATTTGCAATTACAGCATCTGAAATGGTAAGCGCGTACTATTTGTTGTATTTTGTTTCCAAGTTAATGGCACTCTTCGTACTAGCAATTTCCGGCATATAGCTACCAAATACTTTGTAGTTGATTCTTTCTTTGTATGAGTTTGACAAGGTGATTTTATGGGCTTTTTGTTTATTGAGCATATCATGAACAGCGCCATTTTGCACTCATATTCAAAACTAATCGTAAGCGTATTCAAGTACACAAAATTTGAAGTGTTTCATCAACTTAGTCCCATGCAGCACACTATGCAGTTGAATTTTACTTTGGATACGAAGGTATTTGTCATCAGCGTTCTCAGTTACTTACTTTTTTTGATTTTTCTGTTTGAAAGCGGATTGGTCTCGAGTTTCTGTGTGTTTCCTTGCAATCATGGTACACTTTTCGTGGTCTCTTGCAAAATCTTGCTCTCACAATCTTTGATAGTCAGATATCCTATGATATCATGTGACAGCATCTTACTTGGCTAGACAAAACATTTTTTCGCAGATATAGTTGGTTATTTGGTTATTTCTCTTTGATTTAGGGCTGGTTTGGACTTGGAAAATGGTGACATCCGTGACAATCGCGTTGCAGGTGTTATCGAACCTCTACTCAGCAAGGTAGGCATATAGCGCATGAAATCGCCATGGTTAACAATTTTTCTTTCAAGGTAAAATCTCTGAAATTCGCTACAGAGGCTGCTATCACCATTCTGCGCATTGATGACCTTATCAAACTGGACAAGCCAGCACCTTCTAGGGGTGAAGATGAATGTGGAGCCTGAAGATTCAGTCTGCTTAGGCGTTTTTGTTTTTTACTTTTACACTTGTTCTCGCGTGCAAATAAGATCATCATGTTTAGCTTTCGCGTCGCTGTTCTCTGCGATCACTTGTTTTTGTTGTTTTATCGTAATTTTGAATTGTTTGAATGTTCATGAACCTTTTGCTGATGACGGTGGTGTTGAATGCAGCACTAATAATGTGATCGAGCAGTGATAGACCGAGAACGTTGCGCTCAAACTACACTTTATTGACTAATTGAACAGATCTACTCAAATGTGCAGACTGAAATCGTCTTAGCTGACTCGTCCAACATCGAACTTGACTTTAACACCAAACTGAAATTATATTGATGTCTTTTTTAAAGCTTTCTAGCGGGCTGAAGGTGCCAAATCAAGGTGTTCAAGACACTCGCGCTTCAGCATTTTCCACTGGGCTGTTGTGAAATGCAAAATAAGGGTTTTGTCGTAGTTTATGGAAGCGAAAATGACGTTCAGCAATCTTGCAGGTTGGGTGATACGAGCAGTGGGAGGTTGGGACACCAGTAGATTGTGCTTGGCTCTTATTTCGTTGTTCCGTTTCATCAGCTTGAGACCCGCCCACCTTCCCTATATGGGGTCATTAGTGTGTATTCTTAGGTTACTCCTAATAGGATCCACGTGGATGTTTCGAGCATTTTATTTTTGGATCTGTCACCTGCATTTGTGGTTCCAGCACTTTAGGCGCTAGTTGTTGCTATTTTTCGCAGACAACCCAAATTGATTTATTCAACCACGGTTCTTCCGCGTTAGATACGACCATTAACAAAAGGAAGGGGGCTGAAGAAATTGCCGAAATTATTGTTGGCGCAGGCCTTGAGCATGGTAGTTGAGCTAACGAGTCTACAGCGCGTTTGCTGCTGGTGTACGAGATCTACGAAGCGCGCAAAAAGAACTTTTTTCTGACGGTATAGATGGTTCTTAGGCTTTGCATATTCCCAATATTTACTTTTCAGTTTTAAAGAAGAGTCTCCAAATGATTTTTTGTAGGAGACTAGCGACCCTACGGGTTGCTAGCAAATGGGTCGGGGCAGATACAAGATTAGGTTTAGTTGTGACTAAAAACGTTTCCACATAAATTTCCTACTCCCTTCTGCAAACATTTTTGTGTAGAAGCATTTCAAAAGGAGAACCGCTTAAGGAGCAATAAACTTCACAAATCATCCAGCATTTTTCGAAAGCCCTGCCAAAACCATACGAGATTGAGGGAAATTTTTTCGCAAAATTAGGAGGAAACTCAATTACCACGCTTTTTCTGCAAAATCCCCCTACCCTCCTCTCACGGAGACTCATTCGGATAATGAAAAAATTCACCCCCCTTTTCCTCGGAAAAATTTGCTTCGTCGTGTTTTTCTCTACAAATTTTATGGATTAGAAAAAATTAAAAAAATTAATAGAATACACATCGTTTTAAAAGTAGGAGAACATCCAACAATGATGTATACTACAATGAACATAGCTTCTCTTTTAAAATCAATTTTGACGACGACAAAATCAGTTCTCTCAAGACTTGTCAAAAAATCCTCCAAGTTAGGCTTTTGTCAAAATGAAAAATATGAAATTTTCCTACGAAGAGAGACCCCATCCCCAAAAACAAACGTTAGCTGTTGAATTCTCTTGCGCTATTCTGTCACTATATTTGGCGAGTCAAATGCCCTGCGTGCCACTTACAGAGACCGATGTTTATTTGAAAGAAAGTGTCCTACATGGACTTCCGTAATCATAAAAACTGCTTTAGGAGGAAAAACAATGAAACTGAGCATTCATTCACAACGTTTTCTCAAATTGCCCTACCTGTCACCTGAGGACCGTCAATTATAAAAACTCCGCCCAAAAGTGCAAAAATCTATTTCTCTGCCTTATCGAATTTCCCTACGCGCCGCTTACAGACCGATATCATCTATTTGAAAGAAAATTATGACCTACGTGCCGCTTGAAGATTGTATTTATAAAAAAATCCAACCTTATTCTCCTACAAAACGAAAACAACGAAATCAAATGACTCAGTGATTTTTTGTAGGTGATATTATGTGGACACAGCTCTATTGAAAAACTCTTACTGAAGCTTTTTATGTGCAATGCTAGCTGCGATCGGCTATGGTGAAAACGCGTGCTTAAAAAGTTATGTCTACTGTAAACAGCTAATCACAGTAAATCACGCAAGTGCCAAGTAACAAGATCAATTGCACTTTTCTCTTGACGTCATATTGAAAATTAGCTGCTATATAATCAGGAAGTGCCCCAAGAAGACGCTAGGCGATCTGGAATAAAATGCATATCATTAGATGTGTCTTGCTAAGATGATTCCAAATCTGCCTTCTATAACTACCGAACAATCTCTGAGAAAATATGAGCGTATGAAAGTCTGAACTCGCGCGCGCCCCCCCCCCCCCGAGAACGGGTCGCGAAATTTTTGAAAGTTACTTACATGCGTTATAAAAATGTGCAAATGACTTGTTTATTTTTGTAAACAATTAAAATAATTTTTAAAATTTTTTAGAAATTTAATATAGCTTTATAAAAAAATTTTTTTCGGGGGCGTGGCTGACGCCACGCCCCCTTTTTCCAGATTTTAGGGGTTGGGGGCCCGCAAAATTGTTGAGAAGCCCCCCTAAAATTTTTTTGGAGTGCGTGGCTAACGCCACGCACCTTCATTTAAAATTTTTTTTTGCCGCGCCCCCCCCCCCCCGAGCCGAAATCCTGGGTACGCCACTGATTCGAGTATATATAAAGTATTCGAACAGAACTTATTTGAAATTCGATTACTGGAAAATTTCAAAACCCCGAATCTACTCGATATTCACTTATTTGAAATTTGTCAATTTCGAACTTGTTCGATTATTCGTTACTCGAAATTTATGATTTTCGAAAATATTTCGAACATTCGAGTATCCACTTTCAAGTCATTCAATTATTCGACAGATTCGTGTGATCGAATAATTATTAGGTTGGTGCAAAAGTTTTGTCACTTTTTCCAATCCATCGACAGACTCGCTAGAATGAAGATAAACAAACGCTTCAAAATGTTTCCAATGTACAATTTCTTCCCCTTTCCAGCTTCTAAAATCCCGTTGTGTTTCGTTGCGAGAGTGACGAGATATTTGCTGGAAATTGCAACCACTTGTTTTTACCATGCCCAACATTCGCTAATTTTCAAAATTTTAGTATGAGACTTCCGGAGGAGCCCTAATAACCAGCAAGTAGGGCAAACCTTTTGCCAACAGGAGCAATTTTTTGTAACCGTACGGCTTGTCTTTTAGAATTTCTACGATTTATTTTTTGAAGTGACCAGATTTTACATTCAGCCTATTTTAATCTCGTAGAACATAAAATGTTAAACACTTCAGTCACCATTCGATGCGAATTTTTCTCCTCTTTCTAACACTCGACTTTTTTTTGCCGAGACAGGCGAAATTTGTGGGAAAATGGCAGTATTTCTCAATTTTACGAGTGAGCAGTGAAGTAACTTATGTTTTAAAATCTTTAAAATTTGAAGAGAAAATCGCTCATTAACTTTGCAGTGGTAACGGTAGTAATAATCAAGTGTTGAAACCTCAGTATTCTGTAGGTTTCGCAGTGTTTGGTGCAATAAAAGGTCATGCGATTTTTTTAAAACACAATACTTTTAGAAAATTACTTAGCAAAAATCTGAAAAAGCAGCTGAGAAAAAGAAAAAATTGCATTAGTTGAGAAAAGGCGTGCCCTATCTGGTGGTTATTAGGGCTCCTCCGAAGATCTCATAAAAAATTTTGAAAATAGTAAAAGTTGGACATGGTGAAAACAAGTGGTTGCAATTTCCCGCAAATATCTCGTCACTCTCGCAAAGGAACACAGTGGTAGTTCAGCAGCTGGAAAGACGAAGAATTTTTGCATCGGATACATTTTGAGTTGTTTGTTTATCTTCATTCTAGCGTGTTTGTCAAAGGATTAAAAAAAACTGACAAAATTTTTGCACCAACCTAGTACATGACAGCGTCACATTTTTGATTGCTATACAAATCAGCAACCATCGTTTCTTCTTCAGTTTACTACTATTGGATTCCTTCATTGTGCTAATTCAATCAAAATTCGAATGAATATTTGAAATAGTTGATGCAAAGTGTTCGTTTATTTAGATTTTTTCTCGAAGATAATCGATTATTCGGAATTTTTTATTTTGAAATTATTGGTATTCGATTATTCGACATTTTCTTATTTCGAAATTATTCGATATTCGGATATTCGACATTTTTTATTACTAAAAATATTCGAAATTCGATTATTCGATAATTCTGATTTTCGAATATATTCGATTATTCGTATTCAAAAATTTTTTTTGAATATTCTAAAGTATACTGGGTATGAGCCTCAAGAGCAGCATTGATATGATATATGTATATGTCAAACAACACACACTGTGAGAAAATTCTGCGAGGTAAGGGAGGGGGGGGGGCTGGAGACGCGACAAAAACTACAGTGTGTTTCAACTCAGTTTGAGTGGAAATTGGACTGGTGGGAGTCCGCTTCGCAACGATTCGCGCCATTTTGCAGTCTGCGTCCCTTTATTCGAATCTATTTTACTGAGCCAGCGGCGATGCGGACGCGCTGCTCCACTTGAAATGTTTCGCCTACTCCGGGTTGAAAAAGACTTTACACAGCTGGCACTTGCCGCTAATTGAGATTCGCGCTTGTTTACAAGAGGTTTTATCCAAGGAGATACAAAAAACCTTTGCATCAACAGCAAAAACCAGAATACATGTATAATTTTTTCACGTAGACCACTTCCGAAAATTACTCGCTCCTGGTCTCAATAGTTGCACATTTTATCTTGCTAAAAATATGCTCGTGGATTGATCTGCTATGGATTGAAGGCTCTCCTGATGAACCTGGAGACAACGCGAATTTTTTTTGGGACGGTGGAATGCTCTTACCTTACCATTTCCAAAAAATTTTTACCGTATTATGAAGGACGTTATTTTCTTCTCAAGGGGAGAAAATCAGTTCTCTAGATGTGATCGTCAGCATTACTTCGAAACCTCCTTCTCATGACGTTGAACCGCGAGTCACCTCATTTCCCGTTTTTGAGTTTTCAGAAATATCCCGTTTTCGAATGTCATTTCACGATTTCAAAAGCTGATTACAATGTTGGAAATATAGGCGCTTTGATTTTTCATCAAGGCTGATTCAGCATGTGTAACGAAAAGTGAATGCTGTGTAAAAGATTTGCAAGTATATCATGCTTGCTCAACGTCTGGTATATCAAATTCAAGCTAGCTCGTATTAAGTCATACACTGAGTGATACTCATCATGATGTAGTGATATTTATTATCTATACATATTTATGAATGATTGGAGACGGAATATCGACGTGGTTCGGTACCCACCGTAGCAGTACCATACCTACCATTCGTGGACACACTCTTAGAGGGGAACAACAAGCTCACTGTGTTCTTGGGAAATGAGACTATGTAGTTACGATAATCTTTCACAAAAAACATCATCAGAAGTGGGTTGAAAATCGAATAGAGGGAGAATGAAAATCCAGCATAGTCATAGATTACAGAACTAGGTTTCGTAAAAACGAAATAAACGATAATTGCAAATGTAGCGGGTAAATATAAAAATACTGTTGGACAGATCGTCTGCAAGAGTTTCACGTGATCAGGCAGTAATGCCTCTTTAAGGACCTACTTGGAGAAGTAGCATTTGAAATAGTTGCTGCTGTAATCTTCTTGTTCGTTCGCTCAGTGATGCTTGCTGTAGTTTTCTTTGTATGCTTATGGCAAAGAACACGCCCAAAATTGAAATTAATGACATTATGACCACACAATCAGCAAGAACAGGAATAGTGATACCATTGATGCTGTACTAAATGCGTGCTAAATTTTTTCTCTAACACAGTTTGATATGAAACTACCTTCATTGATAATCCGACAAAGCTCTTCTTAGTAAAACTTCCCAGCTCAAAGAGATCCTCATCGTACACTTGTTTCTTGAAGGTATCATTGGGCACCGTGGTTCCCGCGATAATAAATAGAAAATTTAGGAATATGAAAAGGTTGGCAGCGATCATTGCCGTTATCCACCGCCAAGAGTCATAGATGTAAGAGAATTTAGGTCTAAAGCATTTATTCAATAGCAAGCTCCAGCAAATCAAGGGAAACACACTTACAGACAAAGCTGCACGTATCGATATGCAAAACTATTGGTTAGTATAATTATTGATGAGCTCATCATTAAAAAGAAAATTAGCATTATATAATCTGCATATGGTTCTGTATAAATGGGTCCTGTCGCTACATAGACGAGGTAGGAGTTCTGAGCAGCTATACGCTGAAAAATTACACTATTCAATCTTTCCTAGTTTTGTTAACTTTTACCTGAGAAAACTCACTGGCGCCGTTAGATGTATGCATATCGATGCTAATAGATCCTGAACAGCAGTAAGAAGAAAAAAGTATTTGTAGCCCTTTATGTATTTCAAAGGACAGCGATAGTATAGGTAGATCAATAAAGTATTGAAAAGCGCGGCGAGTGTAGATGCCACAAATATCGCGGCTGAATATGCAGTAACGATGTGCATCTAAAATAACGACAATTAAGAAGGCACGTGTGAATGTTATGATTATGTCATAAATGCACATATAATATCCATGTTAATATTAGGGTGAACTGCAAAAAAATGGAACAGCTTGATTTTTATTACATTTCAAAGTTGTTTCGATCAACAGCAAACAGGCTGTCCTTAGACGTCGCTTACATAAGCGACCTTCGCCTTTTATTCTGGTAACGCGTTAACGCTCCTCTCCCGCAACCCTGCACTGGCGCCGTGAAGAACTCGAACAGGGTTTGTTGAACATCTTTCATTTTTGCGCTGTCATACCGTGAAGTCATGAAGCAGTTGATATATCATTCAAAAGAATTGTTTATGCTCTTTCAAACAATATATTAGGTTTTCCCGAAAGTTTTGTCGGTTTTTTCAAACCACTGTAAAAATACACACATAAAGATCTGAGTGAGTTTCAACATGCATTCGATGCAGCTTTTCCTTCTCTTTATTATCGATCCACATAATCTACCATAATCTTGTACGCTTTTTTTTGATAATTGCCAAAATTCTCCACCTGTCAATTCTACCTGCTCAAAGTTGAGCTGATTTTTAAAAACTTCATTACAAAGTTTCGAAAAAGACTAAGTATGGGTCAAATAGAGCAACTCTCGGGCTACAACGTGGTATTTTTACATACTCCTAATATGTTGAATTTAACTTCAAAAAATTATTTCTGCGGAGGCCTTGGTTTTTAGCAAAGTCATGAAACGCGCAATTGCAGCAAAAGCATGAAAGCTTTTGAAGTTTTTGCGAATTCAAACTTGTTTGTTATTAAACATCATTTATGCAACATGACCAAGTTTAATTTGCTTCAAAAATCAGCTTTTTGGAATTTTCGATATTTTTACGTGGTAAAACGTGTTCAAAAAGCCGCGGTTTTTCTCAAAAAAATAATTATTACGGACTTGATAAACGTGGCCCCGTAATCTAAAATGGATACGATGTAGCCAAAGGTTTGCCCTACATAGCAGTCACCAGCGCTCGTTGAAAATATCAAGATAAAAATTTTGAAAATTCAGGAAAGTTCTGGCGCTACTGCTGAGGTGCTCAAAAAGCCATTGCGATAACATCGCAAAGACGGGATAGATCAGGGAACAAATATAGTTATAAGAAAGGGGACAAAAAATGAATAGAATGACATCTAGGACGTTCATGGATTGGTGTTCTGTGAGGTTCGGTGAGCGATGAAAAAAACCGACAAAACTTTCGGGACAACCTAATATATATACATAGGATTCCTTTTTATTTCTGGATAAAAAAAGATACATGAAAAACGCGATTTTTTGACGCAATAAAATCCAAAAAAATTATGTTTAAGCCTATGTCTTCCGAGGTCAGATGGAATTTGAGATAAACTGCATATGTATGGATAGAGCATAAAGAGCTCTATCGGACAATAGCCAGTTAACGTTCACTGTAAAGAAGTAAATAGCACACATCTTCGTTTCAAAAAATGCTAATGACCATATGTCCTGACTTTAACCGTTGCGGCCAGCAAGCCATCGTGGGCTTGGTGACTGTATCTTCACCCACTGCAGCGGTGGTACTTTGAACGGTCTCACATGTTTGACTGCGCAGATACTGCTCGAAGTTTACAATTTGTCGAAGTGACTAACTTTGCATTTCAGCAAGTATAAAAGTTGTTGAGTACGTTGATGACCTTATATGGGTGTAGTCCGAAAGAAAACAATATATTCTGATATATAGTAAGATTGGAAAGTTTAGTCACTTCTCTTTCTTGGAAAATCTACAGTTGTTTTCTGGGTGCCCCATTTTTTTGCCATTCACCCTAGTACATAACATACTAGGTGTTCCAAAAATGTGCCTACTGTTTGATTGTTAATAACTCTTTTGTTATGAAGTCTTTCAACAAGTTTCAGGGACTGTTCTGTAGAGCTGGCTTCAGCTTAGAATTACAGTATAGAAAGAATCACATATCTCTTTTCTATAGAGTAGAATTACGGTAAGAACTGTGAGGAGGGCTTTGAGCCTTGAAGGGCCATGTTTTGCTTCAAAACGGAGATAAAGCAAACTGAAATTCTCGATACTAGAACAAAAAGTTGATGATTCTAGGTATAAGTTTTGCATCTCATCATAGTGCTTCCTCAAAAGTGATGCCAGGTAAGCAGTGGCAGCCGTTATTTCGATGTTCCAAGTATGTTGATCTTGTTATGCCAATACGAGGTTTGATGAAGTCTTTTATCAATGCGGCCTCACGTTTCGACTTATCGTCGTCTTCAGAGGCCTAGAGTGGTGCGAGATTTAGGCCTTATTCTTATTCCACCAAATGCCTTATCGCCCTCCGGCTAGTTACATTCCCCCCCCCCTCCGATTTCACAAGGAAATTCGCATAAAGAGGAAGACGAACCAACCTCAGTTTCACCGATGGTGCATGGTGGGACTGTGCAACCCGTTTTGACGTGTCAGTAGTGCCAATGAGATACTCTAGGCAGCTTGATTTACGTATAGTAGCGCTACATTAAATAATACGTATAGTAGCACTTAAGGGTTGCACAGTACCACCATGCACTATCGGTGAAGCGGAGCTGAGGTTGGTTCGTCATCCTCTTTATGCGAATTTTCTTGTAAAATCGGAGGGGGAGGGAGGAGAATGTAACGGCTGGAGGACATTAGGTCGCCGAATTTGGAAGAGTCCCGCGCAGATTCCCTGCAGGAACGCATGTCCGCGTATGTACAAGGGTGCGTATTTGTCGCAAATGACCATGAGGACCGCCCTCTTTCGGCGACCTAATGTCCTCCACCCGAATGTAACTAGCCAGAGGGCGATAAGGCATTTGATGGAATAAGCTTAAGATCTAAATCTCGCACCACTCTAGGCCTCTGAAGACGACGCTAAGTCGAAACGTAAGGCCGCATAGATAAAAAGCTTTACCAAACCTCGTATTGGCATAACAAGATCAACATAATCATACGACATACACAGGTTTCATGAAAAGAGGAGACAACCAAACTGCCTAAAAGTATGTCTACACCTTTTAGAAAGCTTCGCAATCTTGTAAAAAATGGACTATTAACTGAGCCCAAGAAAACCTTGTCACACTAGTTTTCAGATTTTTTCGGAACAAGTTGTAACTGCAACTCTTTTACAGTGACGGCGTAGCCGGAAGTTCATACCTTTATCCTACAGTAACGAAGAGTGGTCGGTGGCTTACTCAACACTGTAAATCTAAGTTGTAGCCAGCTCTACAGAATGGTGCCTAAGCTTTGTTGAAAGACTTTATGACAAGAGAGTTATTAGCAATCAAACAGTAGGCACATTTTTTGGGAGACCCTGCATATATTAGTTTGTCAGATAATTTCTGTTACATTTTTTATTCCAATTCTTAAAAATCTCAGAATCTTTCGAAGGATCTCATGTTCACGGCATATGGGCAGGGTCAAAAAGCCTATTCATCGGTACTGTCGCATCCGCGGTCCGCGTGCAAAGCACCCACTTTGTGGTCGAAACTCTGTCTTGTTCCCATTTTTGTAAATGAGCTGGCATTCTTTCAGGTGATGAGCGAGAGACCAGACAATGGATAATTAAGTAGAGCATAGTCTGTAGCGTTAAGCAATGGGGGGGGGGATAACACATGTTTTTGTGAACGGTTCAAATGTCAGTTTACGCCATTTTTGCAATCTTCGACATACTAATAAAGAAAACGTCGTCAAAAATTTTCAAGAAATCATTTTTAAGTTTCCTGTATTCATTTCTACACGATACACATAAAAGGAAGAATTTAGGAAGGTCCTTGAATTTCTATGATATTATTTTCACTCCTCTTTTTTAGAACGCGTGAGGCACCGGAATGCCCTCCCCTTTTTTAGAACGCGTGAGGCACCGAAATGCCTTCATGTAAGAGACGATGCCAAAACACGTTTTAAAAAAAGAAATGAAAAAGCACAAGTAGTTGAAGAGAAAGAAGCCAGACAAAAATTGAAAATTTGATGGCTTTTACGAAACTGCCGCAAACCAGCTGGTCATTAGAGCACTTGCGGCATCAGTCATACTGGTGGGTAGACACTGCAACGTCCTAAGCATGTCACTAATCTGGGATTCTCAAGAAGCCTTTGGATTCTAGAAAAATAAACAAGAAAGTGTAACAGAAATTATCCAACAACTCAATATAAATAAACAAGGTGTCCCAAAAAGATGTGCACACTGTCTGATCGTCAATAATTCTCCTGCTTTCAGGTCTTTTGCTTGAGGGGCTATTCTGTAGACCAGGTTCAACTTAGATTTGCAGTGTGGAGCGAATGATCGATTGCTCTTCATTACTGATACAGTGTGCACATCTTTTTGGGACACTCTGTATATATGGCCGGTGATGCCAAACGAGTAATTGCGTTAACCGTTGATATTGACGATTATGCGCATTACAAAATGATCTATAAGTGAATGAGCCCAAAAAATGCCAGCAATAATTCAAGGCTGGATTATATTGTGACAAAATCTTGTGTGTGACGTAGATCAGGAATACAAAATCTGCTAAGATTTACCGGTATAGCAGCGGAGAAATGATCTGTTAAGAAAAAGAGTTTTTGGTCCAATTCATGTCCTCATCAAAAACGACACTCGACTACATAGCTTCAAACTTTACTAATTCAAGAAAGTCAAGTAGTCGCTTAGTTCTTGCACTTCAGTTCTGGACTTAAATTTGAGAAATTTTAGATAACTTGCCAAGGGAACGAAATGTTCAGAAGTGATTTTAAATGACACGTTTTTGTTAAGACTAGCTTGGAATTACCTAGTAGGTGCTGTAAGCATAAGCATGAAAACAGTCGGTGCAGGCTATAATCTAGACGTCATACAAAATTACCGAGACGGATCTTGATTGTGTGGGAGGTTGTTACCTTCCTTCTAAGTTATGCTAATGGTCAACGAGAGCATCATGTCTGATGTATGGTCGGAAGTAAATATTTTAATAATACTATACAAGTCTAGTCGAGATAGGTATGAATTTTTGTGTCAT